GGATGTTCCAGACGGATGGCTGATTGCCAACTACGGAGAAAGAGGCTTCTTCCGCGTCAACTATGATCTGCATAACTGGCAGATGCTCAGGCAGCAACTTATGAATGACTATCAGGTAAAATTCAAAAACATATCGTTTTTAAAGTTATTAGAGTTTAAAGTTACTGAGAGGCTACCAAGGTTCCGCTATAGAATAACGAGAAAAATCTGCATTATTTTCCCTTCAAACGCTATAGTTTAGTTCGGTAGGTTGCCTTTACGTTATCAGGCCATAACGGGTGAGGTTCATGTCTTGGATAGTTGGATATTTTATTTCACGACATATAATAATTAAAACACAGTCCACCGTTAGGTTGATGTATTTCGTTTTTTTCGTCGTGTGACGTTCCGTCCGTTCTAGCTGTGTAATATTTACAAGTTTGTTTATTATTAAATCCCATTTCAAAACATACGACTCTTCACCTTTAGAAGTTGGTTCTCATTCAGTAATTGAGATTAATGGATTTTTACATCTATTGTGCGAAATATATGAAGTAATAGCGAGGGAAAGCTTTTCTGATACATCAGATTTTCAGGTTGGTTGTTGGGATTTCTTTACGGGAGTTTAACCCCGATGTGTTGGGTAAAAAAATTTTTATTAGCTGTTATCCTACCGGCTATAATATGCACAAATGCTACGATTGTCGCCTGAAAATCAATGCAGCGAAAGGGGATCCAGTAATGGATATGTAATCTACTACACCTCATATGTCGCGTGGTCATCGAAAAATTACATTAGTCCCATGCACTCAATTTAAACCGCTAAAGCCTCTCCTAAATATTTTTGGACATGTTGTCGTCATGTGTGCGATAAAGCGTTTAGTCGTTCGTGACTTCATGCGATGATTGGTTTGAAAGATGCTTGCCAGGTAGTTTCAAATTTCTAAAATATTGCAAATATATTGCAAAATAATTTATGCATTAGAGGAAACAATAGTGCCGAGGGAAGTTGTTCGCCTTTCCTCCTTCGACGCTCAGGTTTGAGCCACAGTTGTATGTAAATTACATGCAATGTTACTTATTAAACGCAGCTCCGTCGAGCATGAAATCTGTTCCACCTGTTCACCACTGCAAAAAATCAAAAGACATGCATGCCGTTATCCAGCGTGCAGAGATACAGGACAGTTACCAGATCTTTATGGCACCAGATCTTGAGGAGATGACCAGAGGATGACCACCATGTTATCCAATGCCTGTGCTTTGCATTTGCGATTCTTTCTGATCTACCTGATTACTTGAATTAGTATGCATAAACGTAATTCATAGATTCAAGGAAAACTTCCGTTTTCTTTGGCTCTTAACAGTCACGGTTTACGAATGATATGGAAAAGCCGACAATATAGGTTATTAAAGAGGTTTCGATTTATCGCCTGTTTAAATCACAAATAATGGTCTTTGCTTCTCAATCCATCTTTCACGACGGCAGTTGAAGAGACAAGGTAAAATCCTTTTCTTTGACCATGAAAAGAACTTTTCTGTCATTATGTTGTCAGAGCAATTGTCTAATTTTTGAAAGTTTCTAGAAAATAGACGTTGTAAATCGTGCGCAGATACTTGACGACTCCCAAAATTTGGCCAGGTAAGTGCCATTGTACATTTCTATAATCCTCTAAATTATATGCTTAAAATTTGTATTTAAACCGTTCGTACACATTATAGTAAAACCAGTTGATGTGTTTCTGAAAATCACGAATCCTCATTCGCAGCAACAGGATCAAAAACTGATGATCTCCACAATCTACTGATGAATTAAATGATAACCCATTGAATGGGTTCTCGTACTCATTTCAGAAAGTCTAGACTCCGTAC